TATTTGAATAACTGAAAAATTAAATGTTTGCCCAACTAGACTAGAGCTGTAATGGACTGGAACATGAAAACTATTAACAACTGCAATATTTCTCTAATTTGATGGTACGGTAAGGCCCTCCCTCCCTTCCTTGCAATCAAACAGCTCACAGTGTCTGAAATGGTTTGCCAGCGTCGCTTTCTGGAGCAAACAATAGGTGCTGGCATTTTAAATTGACCTTTAATTCTTCTGAACCAGCACATTATTTTTAGCTTGTTTGTTGTAGAAAGAAAATGAAAAAACGAAAGCAGTCTTAATAATGTTCCCATTTCCCACTGAAAGCAGTACATGGAAAAAGGTTTTTGAAGGATCACATGTACAAGCTGATTCTGGAAGGGTTCCTTCTGACTAAGACAGACAGGCAATTGTGAGGTTCAGATGTACCGCAGAGCTTCAAGAAGAAATAAAAAGCACTTGTGCACTTTAAACTTAAATGGGGCAAGAGAAATATATCTATATCCTTTTAAATCTTACTTTACTTAGCACTACCATAAATACTGAGCTAATTTAAAAAAAAAATTATTTCAGGCCCTGGCCAGGTCGCTCAGTTGGTTAGAACGTCATATAGATACACCAAGGTTTCTAGTTCCATCTCTGGTCAGGGAACATACAAGATACAACCAGTGAATGCATAAATAAGTGGAACAAATCAATGTCTCTGTCTCTCTCTTCCCCTTCCTCTAAGAATCGATAAATAAAAATTTTTAAAAAATTTATTTCAGGGGCCAACATATCTAATGATGATGTCATTTTTCTCCATAATATAGGTATACACTTATTTTATTCAGCAATAGTCAACAGGTTTGGAGACTGCAATGCTATAAAAATTAAGGATTCAAATTAAGGTTTGAATATTTTAACAAATGAAACCAATATAGGAAGAAGTTAATATATTATAATGAGGCAAAACTGACCTGAGAATAAGAAACCATAACAATTTCTCTCAGCAAACCATGGATTCAGAGGACATCCTTTGAAGTTTCTATGCATGAGGATGATATTTTTCTGTGCCAATCACTCTCTGAACCAGATCCTGAAGATACATATTAAAAAGACGACTAGACAAGGTCAGGGACACAGTTTGTAGCATGAAGGTCCTGGGTACAGTACTGTTCTTCACATGCATGAAACCTGTGCCCTTGGCCTCATTAGAATTATGACCCAATCAAGTGAGCTAATTGGCCCACCCAAATGTGTGAATATAAACCACATCTCATTTTGCTTTAATTATAATATCTGACCAAGCAACCTGGAAATACATAATTACATGGCATTGATATTTAAATACAGTTATTTACATGAAAATAGAAGCCAAGCTAATTTCTTTCATATTCATTAAATCTTAGAAAACACAAATGGGTATTATCTACTGTAATTTGTAACATCATCTTCACAGAGTTCTTTAAAATTAAAGAGGAAATTCTAAAGGCTCTTTGGCAGCTCAGTTTGAAGTGAAGAGTGCTAATTGACCACTACCACAACCTGCTCTCAAAGCTGGCCATTTTCCTTTCTATTCGTGCAATGCTGCCCTTCTAAGGTTTGGTTTCCTTACATGTGAAATGGGGATGTCTACCTCACCAGATTGCAAGGAATCATTGACATAAAGACTCTCAGACAGTGCTGAGCACATGATAAATGTTCTCTTATTAAACTTGCAGATCAACTTATAGTTAGGTAAAAATTAATATTGCAACTTCTCCTACTCTCTATATATAAATTAAGGGGCTGCCATATCAGTGCACAGCCAGTATTTGGAAAAAAGTGTAGAGAATCTCATAAAGAAGTGTGGACAGGGCCTCATAACAACTACCATTTGTTGAGCACTTATATATGTGTCACTTATAGTCTCAGTTAACCCATAAAACTATATCCATAGAATGATTTCCAAACTCAGGCAATTTAACAACGCACCTTCTTTGCAGCAGCTCTGAGAACTCTGAGAAGCTCTCAAATTGGTGTGATCAGATCAATGTATCGGCAAAGTACTTGCGTAAATAGCCATGGCCGACATGATCTCGGGTAGGCCACACACTTCGGTTTCTCTGTAAAAGCTCCTGTTGTGGATTAGCAGTGTCAGCAGCAGCCCTGCAAGGGTAGAAATCTATTGTGAGGTTTTGTAAGAGGGGTTCCTAGAACAGTGTCTCTTCCCAGCCCTGAAGATTGAGACTTCTGGTGTAAAAGCATCTTACTACTCTCAAAACTTACTGTAGTTACTGAGCATGCCCAATGGCCATGACTAAGGAGCACTGAAGATAAAACATAGAAAGCAAATTTTAAAACGAACAGTTGAATATAAGAGTCATTAGCTGTTGCTGTAACCTTGAACAGCCTTGGTTGTATTAAAGTGAATTACACACAAAGAGCTAGCTCTCTTTGATACTAGGAGAGAACAACTCAAATTTTAAAAATCTATGTAAATGGTAAAAACAAGTCATTAGCTACTAAAATAAGCTCTTCATAGACCTATCATCTTCTGCAGCCCGCCAATCTGTCTGAGTGGGGAGAAACTCCTTCCCCTGAACAAACCGTAGGTCCTAGAGCTCCCTACCCCCACCCCCAATTTGGCTTCAGCCAGAACCACTCACCTTGGTAACTGTTGTCTTTGCTTAGACATCTTATGATTTTCTTTGAACAAGGTGCTAAAGAATGAAAATCATGGCAGTATGTTATCCCCAAGGATTAAACAAAATGTGTTAGCTATATCTGGTTCAGACCAACCCCTCAGTAAATAACATTGGTGTTGGTTAGATTTACACTACAGTGGTAGTTCAGAGTGGTGTTTGGAAACTCCATCCAGGTGCCTGTTTCTATATAGCTACCACCTTCTTCCCAAGCACCAAAATCATCCAGGAGCAGTCACTGATCTGGCCAGAGGTGAGTACATGCCAAAACTGAGCAATTCAGATGTTGAATCTTAATTGTCAGTTCTAAAAGGTCCACAGACAAAAAAAATAAATAAAAAAAAATAAAATAAAAGGTCCACAGACTGACGAATCTGAGGGAAGGCAGGGGTTAGGGGTGGAGAGAGATTAACCAAAGAATTTATATGCATATATGTATAACCCATGGAAAAAGACAATAGTGTGGTGAAGGCCTGAGGGGGGTAGGTGCAGGGTGGAGGGGGTCAAAGGGGAAAGGAAAGGGGACAGCTGTAATACTTTCAACAATAAAGATAAACTTTAAAAAATAATAAAGAAATAAAATGTCCACTCAAACATGTTACTTAAAAAGAGCTAAGTCAATTAGTGGGTATCCCTAGCTAAAGCTTAATAATTGAAAATAGCTAGAAACCATGAATGAATATATAAAAAAACGTAAGTTTCACATGACTTTGATTACTTGTTACCTCAGTACATGAAATACTCAATTCAGACAACGGGTAGCACTTCACTTATCCTATCTATGCCTGTTAGTATTTCTTTTTTTACTTCTAATAAGCTTCTAAAACTGGTAATTCTTATGAAAATTAACAAAAACAGAAACCATAAACTTAGAAGCTAAAGAGCCAGTTTGCTACCATGAAATGTTTATCATATGTTTTTAGATCCATGACTTCTCTTGGGACAATATAACTAGTTTAATACAGGAATTTAATTTACATACCAACAGAAGTGAAAAAATATGTCCAGAACTGTTATTCTTTCCACGAGAAAAATCTCTTCCTAATTAATTATACAAACTATAATTCCTAAACAGTCTTTATTTCTAAATAAACAAGAACCAAAATCTCACACACATGAAAATTATGACTAAAGCAGACTTCAATACTTGTCAAGTATTAGGGAAAAGCAGTAAATTTATTGTATTATGGGAAGGTTTATCCTTTATGAACCCCAAATTTAGAAAATCACATTGAATTCCCATAACTAAAAATAAATACAAATAACGGGAATGTACATTTATATGTTATTAAAATTTTGAATCTAATTCTATTTAGTTGGAAGTTTATTGGCAAAAACTCTCTAATAAACATATCTGAAAATGTGCTTTGGGGCTATAAAAAGGAGCTTTTTGCCAAAGTTAAATTTCAGCTGATTCCAGTCACATTTACTCTGGAAGATTAGTCCAAGGATTTAGAGAGCCCTCATTGTATAGTTTGTGATTTTATTATGAAATATCATTTTAATTCAAATATATTAGCAATATTTGGCCTATGGGGTATGACATTTTAAAAATCCACTAAATGTTAATTTTGGGCAATAACTTTTAAGAAAGTATAAACCTTTAAAAATTCTAAAAGCCCTAGAAAATCAGGCTGAATGTCTTTTAATTGTGGAGAAAAAAATTATTGGGATTTTAAACAATTAAATCTACATTTTTCCCCCTGTGAACACAATATTTATCTTATTTCCTCAAAACTATTTTAGAGCTAGTGGACACCAAAAATAAAGTCATTGTTATTCCTATCTTGGTTTATAATTTAATAAATCAATATTGTGGCCAACACAGGTAACCTGCATTACACCAGATATGTAAAACTGATACAGAAATCATCTGAATGCTTTGAAAGAGTAGAACTAAAGGCTTTCTGCATTTGGGGAGGAGGAACTAAGCTTCTTAAAGAGACCATAACATCCTAAAAATCTACAACAAAAAGGAAAAACTACTGATACTAGTTTCTAAAACTCACAGTCATAATAATGTAAAACAAATTTGTTTGCCATTTTATCTGATTTTCAATGTGCTTATACATGCAATGTAAATTATAAATATTTATAACATTATAACACCATCTAAAAGAAAACAATGATGTACAAAAATCTTTATGATAAATAAAATTGCATTTAATGTTATTTTCTTGAAAACTAAAATCATTGAATTCTTTAATGTTGTATTGAATATAAACAATGCCAGTCCAAATTAGAGGAAATGTATGCCAACACCAGTTTCTGACAACATAAATAGAAAAGTTAAAGCCCTGCAAGTTTGTCTGATTTAGGTCGGGTAATCATGGAAACAAGTGAATATTTAAAATTATTTATTTTATCATTATGCACAATGAAGAACATTATAGACGACAGAGTTCTTTCCACCACAAAATTATTTACACCCATTTATTCAGCTAGAAACACCAGCTTGAAGAGGTACTGGTATATTCCATTTGTAATAATTTGCTTACAGCAAACAACTGTCTTATAATGGAACATGTTGAAGAAAATATTGTCTCATAAGTCTTTTTTGTTCTTTTGAGTCTCAATCACTACAAGTTCAAGGTACTTCGACAGAATCCTAGTGTCCTGAATGGCCTGATGAATGCATTAAATCAAACAGTGTGTTTGTATTCGGGAAATACTCTTAGATTCATACAAATGTTGCTTGGGTTGTGGATTTCATATTTCTCCCACTGGCACTATGACATTTGAAGAACATTTGTTATGAGAGTTTCACACCAATTTTGTTTTGCTCCTTTTTCATTAGCCGCTGTGCCTCCTTTTCCATTTTCTTTCTTTGCTGTTCCGCTGCTCTCTTTTCTCTGTCTGCTATCTTCTGTTGCCTGAAAAGAAGCATATTCCCATTTTCACTTTTAGAAAATACCACACAGGTAAAATGGCAAATACACTCCAGAAAGAAATAGCAGTGCCTTTTTAGCAGCATCAAATGTAGGTAAAAAGTCTTCATTCTTTTCACTGCTTTTTTTATATACCACTCAGAAAAGGCTGATACTGACGATTCAATCTCCCGTTACTGTAATAATTGAAAATCAGTGAAGGATGTCAAGAACATAGATATGACTTCTACTTAAGGATTAACATTTGACCAGCTCTACTAATAAAGGGGCAGCATGCAGGATGTTTACTTATTGCACATCATGAGAGTAGCAGTGGGTGATGCAATAAGCCTAAGGAGAGAAATAGAAGTTGGTCCTAGATCTAAAGGTTTAGGGTATGAGAAAATAAACATGCAGGGTTGAGGAAGAAAGTTGTAGCACAGTTGGGCATGGCATAGGCCACACTAGGTTATATAAAGAAAAATCTAGTGTAGATTACCTATATATGTAGTAGCAGGCTGACTACAGTAAGTGAAATGTATATACAAATCTCAATTATACTTACAACTGGGAGTAAGCAGAGTTATAAATGACCAAAATTCAAGAAAGTAGAGACTTGTTTTAGGCAACATTTTTTTTTTTTTTTTTTTTTTTTTAAGGGAGAAGGATAGAGAGTTAGAAACATTGATGAGAGAGAAACATCAATCAGCTGCCTCCTACACACCCCCTACTGGGGATGTGCCCGCAACCAAGGTACATGCCCTTGACCAGAATCAAACCTGGGATCCTTCAGTCCGCAGGCCGACGCCCTATCCACTGAGCCAAACCAATCAGGGCTAGACAACATTTTGACCATCACCACCAATTAACTAGCTTTAAAAGAATAATTCTTAAAATTTTAGTTTTCACTAGCTCCTCCCACTTTCAAGCAAAACTGATAATTTGCACTAAAAAAGTCAAAATGCCCATGGTAAAAAGGGAGATAGGGAAAGAATTATAAAAGGCTGTCTATGTTACAAACAAATAGGATAATCAAGCTTTGACCTGGTCAGTAGCTGAAATATAAACATCAACAATTAATGTTTCTGGCACAAGAAGAAACTTAGAGATTACTGCAGACAAAATATATTTTCTGTTGATACACATCTGGAATTACTAAAGTATCAGAGTCTTCTTCCTGAATGAAATTGATCGTAGTAGTGGTAGGAGTTTAAGCAACTTTGCAGCACGAAGCATGTCTTCTACTGACTAAGATGTGGTATCATGTGAAACACTAAGTTTGGTTTTTTGGTCTTGTTTCATTCAGGGTACAAGAGGATATGGTGGGAAAGAGAAGGTTTTGCACAGCGAATGTTCAGATATTTGTGAACTCATGTGCTCTACAGTGCTGTCATTAGGATTGCTGGGTTCAAAATAAACAGCCCTTTCCTTTATCCTTGTGGTTAGTAGAATCTCCAATATGTTCTAAAGTACTCAGAATTCATTATCTATGATTTATCCAAAAAAGAGAGTAAAAAATAAATGATTTATCTTTTTGGACAATCCATACAATATAAATGATGGTGTGTGAAATTTTAAAAATATTTCCTTTATACTGAATAACTATCAAATAGGAACTAAATATTTAAAACTCTCATAATTTTACTGACTTTTAAAATGGACCCCTTAGTTGGGGCGGGGGGCCTGAAAAAAAGGACAAGACCAAAAAAGAAAGTCAGTTATGACTTCCAGTTACTTAACTGCACCCTCTGCTGGTTGTTCAAGGTAGTAGTAATTTATTGATAAAGACAAGCAAAGAATATACAAAAATGAAATCAGTTCGTTTTGTTAAAATAGTCAGATAAAGGGCAATTCATTTTCTATCCCTATTATAAAAGCAATCTTCTAAAATAAAATAGCTGTATTTTACTATCTCATCTTTCAAGATGCAAACATAATTTAGATTCATTTAAATAGCTGAGTTTTCATCAGTGATGATAGTCACAAACTCTCTTAAGCAAATTTTACTTTTACTCTTTGAGCTAATCCAGCTAGCAAGAATTAAGTTTATTACTCACAAAAACAAAGAAATAAGAACACACCAACCAACAAAAATAAACCTGAAACCCTCCAGTATATTTTCTTTTCTGTAGAATGGGCTGTACCTGACTTACATTATCTACCTCATAGGGCTTTGAATGCATCAATTCAGATACACATACAAATGTAGAATGCTATATAAGTTATTTTAATTCATATTTGAGGGGCTAAGCACTATGACAGACCATGGGAAAACAAAAAGAAAGGTATAATTTCTGACCTGGAGGAATACATAGTGAAAAACCAAGTTTCAAATTAGCACAGTCATCGTCAATTCAACAGAAGAACTGTATAGCTTTCTCAGTGACATAGTGGTGACTCGCATTTCATAGTAGGACATTTCAAGAGATAAGTATATTTTACAGGGAATGAAGTATAAATATAGTGTATATATCTAAAAGATCTTATTTGCCATTAAAAAATTATTAATTTGCTTCTATAATACTATACATTATTGGTTTCTGTGAGGTTTTAACCACATAAAATAGCATACATGGTCTGAAATTAAAAAAAATACATATCCTATATTAGGTTCAAATGAGAATGAAGAAAAATGTACCATTTGGCAGAATAAGCTTTCTTGACCTCAAGTGTAACATGAACAAATCTAGTCCTTCTACTCATGTTGCAATGTAAACATTACTCAAATACCTCAGAACTTCTTCTGCTTGCCAGGCTGCATCTTCCTCTTCTTCCCATGCATTGGTGTTTTCCTGCCAGGTATCCAAGTCACCTAATTCAGGCTACAATAAAAAAACAAAACTACAATATAAAGAGCCATACTTTCTCCCCTCAGCAGTCAACAAGAGCATCTTTTAAAATATAATCCAGACCTTGTCATCCCCCTGTATCTGCTCCAGGTCCATACCATGTCACCAAGTCCTACACAAGGCCCAAATGATTTGTTTCTGGTTTGCCTGCAACGGAGGGGTTCCTGACTTTCAGCACTCACCAGTCCTGGGCAAGTCCCACTTTTTTCCTCCTTTATTTTAAGGAATACCCCTTTAACATAACTTTTCTTTTTTGCCTACTATAGTTTGGAATGGACAAGAATAAACCAATTCTGTTTCTCTTTTCAGTAAGAGGAAGGGGTTGGGGTCGGAGTGGCGGAAGGAGAAGACGGAATTAGAGATGCTTCACTGGACAACTCTGGGCTGGAGATGAAGAGAAAAACCAAGTTTCAAACTAGCACAGTCATCTTCACTTCAGCAGAAGAACTGTATAGATTTCTCAGCGACACTTACTGTCGGGGTCCCAAGCAAAATGAGGAATCGGGCAAAACCTACTCTACTGGAGTGCTTCCATATTGTGCTTCTTTTCCTGTCCTACTCACCATCAGGCTGGCCACTATTACCCACTGTCTCCCTGGCCACTATTTCCCACTGTTTCCCAGATTCTAAAAGTTCACTTTTTTCTTCCACAGACAATGAAAATGCTCATTCTGGAATGTTTCTAGTGAGGTGTGGAAGTGATTATGTGCATAAAATAACTAGAACCAATCTGTGAACAAATTTATTATGTTCTCTTTTTCAGCACTTACACCTAAAAATGAAAGATGTTAAATTTTCTCCTCCTACCCATAAATGTAATATCCTATTAAAATTGTTTTAAAATTATTTCTAATTATCTCTTTAATATAAATTTCTAAAAAGTAGAACTGCTAAATAAAAGAAAATATATTTAAAGCCACTGAAGCAAAATACAATGACTCTCTTGAAAAGTTGTATCAACTTATCCTCCCAACAGCAGTAGGTAAAAGCTTGTTTCCTTGTACCTTTGTCAATACTGGCAATTATTTTTTCTATCTTTACTTTAACATCTAAATATGATGTCTTATTATTTTACTCTGAATTTGAGAACTAGTAAGATATATTTTTCTTCATGCTGTCAAGTTACATCTATTTTATTTGTACATTTATCCATTTTTCCACTGGTTTTTGACTTTTTACTGTATATAAATTTAGATATAAAAAAAGTGAAACTACTAAGACTATAAAAAGGAGTGATATGTGATCCTTTAGTAGAGATGGCCTTCTAAGTAAAAAAAGAAAAAATTGTAAAAGATTGTAGATTTGCTATATAAAACTTAAATACACCAAAAACATCCAAACCAAAATATAAAGCTGAAATACTGTAAAAGATGACAGAAAAAGTTAATATCCTTAGTATAAAAAAGAGCTATCACAATACAAATGATAAGTCCCCCCCCCCAAAAAAAATAGAATGTGCAATTTAAAAGAAGAACCTTATTTGTGGAATGGGTGATAAAACATTTTTGTTGTAGTGAACAAAGTGCAGGAGTCTACTACCATTCTCTCCTAGGCAATGCCCCTTTATTTTGTCTGCTTGGGAGGAAAAGCATTGGAGACAATCTCTACCTACCCTTTTTACCCCTTCCCAACTCTTTAAGCAGTTATAGATTTACAACTTTATAATGAGCTATAATTATGCTATAATATCATATAATTACTGTTAGGTGGTATACGTGTACTAATTCACTGAGGAATTCTGAATGACTTTACCAATATGGAGCATACATATATGAATATTTACAATTTAAAATAGAAAATAAAAAATTGCACATTCTGGTGTTATGCTCTTTTAGAGAAATATCTATGGTGCTATTGTGCTATCGTATGATCATGTACCTGCATAGGAGTTATCTAAGTTTGTAATATTTATTATGTGTGTGATCATTTATTTAGCATTGTACCTTCCCCATGAGAATGCATTCTTCTGAGGCAAGGACCTGCCTGTTATGCTTACTTTCCATGACATTACTAGCACCTAGCATAACATCTGGCATTAGTAAAAATAGTTTCTGATCACTGAATAAAAAATGTATATAAACATGGGACCCCTGGAGAGAGACCTCAGAAGCATCTGTGAAGTTTAAACAAATATGACAGATGAACAGACAGACAGATGTAGTGGTTTAAAACTATGTCTGCAAATTTTTTGATACTCCTTCTTTCAAGAGGTGGAGCCTAGTTCTTCTCCCCTTGCATGTGGGCTGGATTTAGTAACTAGCTCCAAATGAATAAAATAATGTGGAGGTGACAGTGTGTCACTGATAGAGCTAAGTCATAAACAGGCATTGTGGCTTCACCCCTACATGCTCTTTTTCTCAGGGATCACTTGTTCTTGGAAAGTCAGCAGTATGTCATAAGAAAATTCAAGCAGCCCTATGGAGAGGTCCATTGCAATGATTTGAGGCTTTGTGAAACCAACCAGCATTAATTTTTTGGGCATGTAAGTGAATCACCTTTGAAATGAATTCTCCAATGCCAGGTGAGCTTTCAGATGACTACAGCTCCAGCTAATGATTTGTCTGGAAACTCATTAGAAACCCTGAGCCAGAACCACCCAGTTTAGTCTCCCCTGGATTCCTGACCCACATAAGCTGTATGTGAAGAAAAATATTTATTGTTGTTTTAAGCCACTCCCTGTGGGGTTGTTCTACAACAATAGGTGATGCATACAATCAATTAAAAATTACTAATCAATAATCTATCAAAGCATGTTTAAGCTTAGGTCTGGACCTTGGTGTATTTAAAAAGTTCAGAGGTAATTCTGATATGTTTCCAAGGTTGAGAACTGCAGTGATATACTTTCCTCACTACTTTTAGCCTTAAAGGTATTTAAGTCAAACACATTTAAAGTCAAGTCATACTTTAAAGGTAAATAAAATCTATTAGGGAAACAATTCACAACTCACTTAAAAATAACCTGCTGTTATGGTTAAATTTTAGTGGTAATCTCTTTAAAGGTCGTTTTTTTAAATAACATTTTGTATCTATTTTTCATGTATACAATGGGACTCTGATGTTAGTATCTAATGTAATTTACAATCGCATAAAGAACAGGAATAGTAAAACTCCAGATTAGCCTCCCTCGATCTGACAAACATGTTTCAAAGTAACAGAAATACAAATACTATGTTCAATTCATTTTTATTGTTTTTCTTCTTCTTTAAAGAAAACAGAATCAAAACAATCCTTGCTTAGATACCATTAACATACTTACTGATTGATGAATAAATGGCATATCTTGTGTAGCTGCTAATCTACTAGAGAAACCTGTGCTACCATCTGGGACGCCAAAATTCAATGGTTCTCTCTTCTTAATAATGATCTGAAAGATTAAGTGAAACAGAATTATAGGAATATTTTATACATCACTACATAAATATAGACAAAATAATTAACTAACCAAGCATTTTATAATTATTTTAACTAGAGGCCTGTTGCATGAAAAGATTCGTGCAATAGGCCTTCCCTTCCCCTGGCTGCCGGCCCGGTTTTCCTCCAGCACCCGGGACCCAGGTCTTCGCTCCGGCCAGAGCTGCCTTCAATCTTCACTGCTCTGGCTGGAGCCGCCTTCAGTCTTCGCTCCACCCGCTCCGCCGCTTCTCGCCTACGTATGCAAATTAACTGCCATCTTTGTTGGCGGTTAATTTGCATATCTCACTGATTAGCCAATGGGAGGTGTAGCGAAGGTATGGTTAATTACCATGTTTGTCTATTATTAGACAGGATATGTTCTACCTTTTTTCTTTTAAAATTTACAACGTAAAAAAAATTTTAGTCTATAAAAAGTACCAAAATTCTTAATTGTCACACAAATCAGTTGCATAGTGAGAAACACTGTATTTCTCTTAAAAAGTAATAATACATTTTCCTCTTCCTCATTCCTCTTTCCCTGCTTTCTTTCTTAGACCTCAGGTCCCCAAAATGTTATTAGGCACTTTTAGTCACAGTATTAAATAAGAAAAAAAGCTATATCCTATTACAGTATAACCAGCCCCCTATGCATGTAGATATCTATAAATACATTAACTTTTTCAAGCCAGTAGTATTACCTTTGTAACTTAAAAGCATTTTCATTCTAATTAATTTATTAGGGTACTATTGTAATATATTGGGTTACTATTAAGAGCAGCAATATACTTCCAAAATACTAAGAAACTCACTTAAACTCCTTGAAAAATATACAACTTAATGCTTTTCAGCACTGAGACATTTAGATAACTCAACAAAAACAATTATGATTATAGCATGTAAATGTTATCAGCCTTGAAAATATAAACGTATAGCTGAAACTAGATGAAAGGTAGAAGAGGGTGAAAAACTCTAACAGAGAAATGTGGAACAAATAAGTTCCTCATTTATAAAGCATATTTATAAAAAAATATTTTCTGTGCTTGACTGAACAAGAAATGAAAGTCTAGGTGTGTGTGTGTTTTTTAAATAGCAGAGTAACTGGTGAGGTATACTGGAATAATAACATTATAAAATTTGAAAGAGGGGGAAGAAGGGTAAGGGTAGTATGAAATAAACCCTCATTTACCATAGTATAAAATCAATGGACAATGTTTGTGAATGGTAAATCAAGGCACAGCAATTTAAGCAAGATAGACAGACAGATGATAGATAGATGGACAGAGATATGTAAATATAGTGAAAAGCACTAGAAGCCTAAACAGAAAGTTATGTATGAGTGGCTGCTTCTGGAAAGTAGAACTGCCTATAAAAAGTGATGGGGCAGCAGTCCTTTGCTTTTCAATAAAAGTTCTTTTGTAACCTATGATTTAAAAAATTTTATTAAGTATATGTGCTATTTGATTAAAAAATAGAAAAATACTCAGCCATTGTTCTTTTTTTAATAATTCCCTTTAAGTGATCATCCATATTCAACTCAAAAGGGATTAAATAAAGTATGGATGACTAACAGAAAACTATAATTACTCTAAGTTCTCAGAGCCTTGCCTCAGTTTTATAATGGTTACAAACAACAGAAAACACTTAGTTTATAGACATCACTAAATTGTGTACACTATTAAGGTTAGAACTGTATTTTATTTAGCTTAGTCTCCACAAATTCTGATATACAGCAGAATTTGTCTAGATATAATTTTTAAAGGTGTACAAATTACTAGATCTGTGTCTAGGTCACTTGAATATAAAAACTTTCACCTTTAACATGACAGATCAATGATCAGAAATAGGTTTTCTAACAGTACTAGTTATACTGTCTAATTTTAACTATGGGAATATGAAAAGCAGCTTCATAGTTTAATTGCTAAAAACACAAATCTTTAACTTACTTTCTGAGTTTTCCTTATAGTTGGTGTCATGTCCTTAAAATAGTCAGGTTCCAGTTGTTCCAAAGCATTTTGTTGTGTTGCCACATTCCCATTCCCTCCTTCAATCTTTATACTTGTGGGAGCATCTTCATCCCAGGAAGTCCACTCTTCAATATCTGTCTAAATTTAATTGATCAATACTGTCACCATATAGGGAGAACCTAACTGACACTTCATTCATTGTTTATTAGAAAAATGGGCTTACTAAAACATTAGGTTTCAAACATTTTTAACCAACAGGAAAATATAAATTTTATTTCACAAACCAAAACTACATTAAAAGTTAAAAAAAATACTTTTACTCTGAGTTAGACATCCTGTTATATCCATTAAAACAAAACAAAACAAAAGCAAATACTTAGAAGACTGAACTGACATTAGAACTACAGCCCACAAAAGGAGGATTGGAACTTACAACCTAAGCCTAATCAGGTTGATTGCCTGATTACATAAAGAATATTAACATTCGTTTATTTTTTTTTTACAGAGAGGAAGGGAGAGGGATAGAGAGTTAGAAACATCGATGAGAGAGAAACATCGATCAGCTGCCTTCTGCACACCCCCTACTGGGGATGTGCCTGCAACCAAGGTACATGCCCTTGACCAGAATCGAACCTGGGACCCTTCAGTCCGCAGGCCGACGCTCTATCCACTGAGCCAAACCGGTTAGGGCTATTAACATTCTTGATAGTATTTAAATAAGGTAAGGGTCTCAAACATATTCAAAATGTCTGTGAAATAACCCAAAATTATTCAGCACACAAAAATCAACAAATCTCAACTCACATAGGAAAAGTCAATCAACAGACACCAATCCCCAGGTGATATAAATGTTGACTAAGACTTTAAAATAACTATTATAAAAGTGATCCAACAAGCAACCACACTCTTGAAACCAGTAAGAAAAAAATAGAAAATCTCAGCCAAACAATAGGAAATAAAATAAAGAACCAAGTAAAAACTTTAGAATCAAAATATGTAACAACAAAAATCCAAATTAATTTCATGACATACTAAATGGTCTGAAATCTAGTTTGAAAAATATGGTTCCAAAACATTGATTCAACCTTTTGAAAAAAACTTACCTGTTTTGGAACTGATGAATAATCAACTGTAGTTGGCAAAGTTATTTGGTCTCCACTTAATTTCCGTCCTCTGCCAGATCTAAAAAAAAGGAGAAAAAATTTATTTCAAGAACTATCAAAACAAGCATAGGTAAAAGCACTATGGACAGTAATTTAAGGCTTATAAAAGATCTTTTCCAATTTTAGAATTAGGTACCTTAGTAATTAAGAGTTGTTCATTAAGATAAAAATGAAAAGCATGCATCAGATGAAGGTATCTAACTAGGAAGAAGATAAACAGGTCAATTTGAACATAAAATGTATTTACCTGCATATTAATCTCTTTAGGAAGGAGAATAACGTCGCTAAGCAGGTACAAACTTTAAATAACCGAAACTGTGTGATAGCCATGATGGGAACCAAAACCTGTGGAAAAGGCACAAAAAATAAATGCATTAAGTTGATTTTACAAGCTATATTCCTGTTCTGAAGTCAAGCTTAAAAGTCCTATTATAAGCTATGAAAAACAGGCATATTTTTTTTTCTTTTCTTTATAAACCACAAAAATAGCACAGTAAATTTAAAATTAAAAAGTAAATCATGGGAGGCCCAGGATGGTGGCGGTGGAGGAGTGAAAAACAGGCATATTTTTTTCTTTTCTTTATAAACCACAAATATAGCACAGTAAATTCAAAATTAAAATGTAAATCATGGGAGGCCCAGGATGGTGGCGGTGGAGGACAATGAACTCATTTCACCCCTTCCCAAATATACACATACAGAGACAACAATGACTCCTGTACAACTGAGGGGTCGAATAAACAGCCTCTGAACAACAAGAGGAAGATACCAAATAGAGAAGACTCGGAAGCCATGGGAACCCTTCAGGAGCTGCAGGAACTCAGCGGTCAGGAGCCAGTGAGCATCATTGTTTAAGTTTCCCTCCACATTCATAAGGTGGGAAGGAGCTCTATTCCTGGGATTTGGATTACCTGAAGATCACCACAGCTGTTCCCAGGTACACTGCCCTGAGCCTTTGCTTCCTGAACAATGGGATCAAGCAGGAAAAACAGGGTGTCCCTGAAACACTAAAGAAAACTAGCAAACCACAAGGGAAGAGAGAGAAAAAGATGAAAAGAATAGAAAACTACCAAAACCAAAAACCAAATAACAAAATGGCAGTAAGTACACATTTATCAATAATTACTTTAAATGTAAATGGATTAAATGCTCCAATAAAGACAAAGAGTGGCTGCTAACAAGAGACTAACTTCAAACTGAAAGACACAAACAGAAGGAAAGTAAAGAAATGGAAAAAGATATTCCATCGGAAAATAAAAAGAAAGATGGGGTAGCAATACTCATATTAGACAAAATAGACTTTAACACAAAAAAGTGTAAAAAAAAGACAAATAAAGATATTACATAATTTATAAAGCAGCCAATCCAAGAAGAGGTTATAAGAATCATAAATATCTATGCACCCAACACAGAAGCACTGAAATATATGCAATTATTAATGGTCATAGGGAGACATCCACAGTAATATAACAATAGGGGATTTTAATACTTTACTCACATCAATAGTTCATCCACACAGAAAATTAGACCAAATTGACTTAACAGATATATGTAGGACAATTCATCAAAAATTGCATAACACACATTTTTTTACAGTGTAGATGAAATATTTTCCAGAATAGATCGTATATTAGACCACAAGTGTACATGGAACATTTTCCAGAATAGATCATATATTAGACCACAAAGCAAGCCTTAAGTAATTTGAGAAAACTGATATATCAAGCATCTTTTCTGACCACAATGGCATGAAACTATTGCGAGGATGAGAATATTTTGTCAATAATAGATCCACTTTTTCTGATGAAACAACTGGAAATTTTACTTCCAGTTACCACTGAAGTCATGTGATTTGAAAAATACTTACTGAACGACACACAACAATTACAGTGGCAAGGGGATGGCCCTGTCTAAGACTGAATAACACAAGTATGTCTGCTTTCATCACTTCTATTCAACATGGTAGTGCAAGTTCTGGCCAGTGCAATCAAGCAAGAAAAGGAAATAAAAGGCATTCAGATTGGAAAGGAAGAAGTAAAACTGTATGTATGTAGAAAATTCAATGGGATCTACAATCAAGTGTATTTTTTATGTTAGCACAATCACAAAACTTTGAAACAATTATGAGCACAAAAAAATATGAAATACTAGCAATTAAGAATTTTCTCATTCTACAAAACATTTGCTTTTGTGATTAATGAGAGAGAGGAACTAATATTCACTGACCAGGTACTGTGTGCCAAGCACTATCTAATATTCTCACTTAACTCATAAAATCATCTTATGAGATATTATTGCTCTCATTTCATAGAACTGAAGCACAGAGAGTAAGCACATTTCCATACCCAATGACTTTAATTCAAACCTAGGTCTATTTAACTCAAAAGCCAAGAATACCTCACTAACAATAAACATTCTTAGAAATTTGGTGATGTTATAATTTCCAAGATAAATTTCCCAACCAGTTGCACTTAAGTGGGGAAATGCAATCAAGCTGACTATCAAGCAACACTTGATTTTATCAATTACACTGATTTGCAGACAGGAATATTCTTTGGGACTCCTAGTTACTTGATGTTTCAATGCAATTCATTGAAGATATACAATCAATTCAATTCAATTCCTTGAAGATATATATTTAGCACCTACTATGTAACAGATTCTACCAAGAATGATGGGAAATACTACTGACCCAGTACTGAGAAACTGTGTTCACTGCTCAGCTGTCCCAAGCTTGTGATAATGCAAGGGAAGGAGGCAGAGCCCCCATCAGTCTTGCTTAGGTTAGTCTTAACCAATGCCAAGCACACAGTAGGGGATTCAGGTATTTGTTGGATGGAGAGACATTAACATTCCTTGAGCACCCAACATGTTCTAGACCAGAGATTTTCAATCTTTTTTTATCTCACAGCACACATAAACTAATTAATGAAATTCTGCAGCACACCAAAAAATATATATATATTTGCCAATGTGACAAAAAAACTTAGGTATAAATTTGATTCGTTCACACCAGACAGCTATTGGGTTGGCTGTTGTCGTTTTTAATTTGACAATCTAAGGGAAATGAGGTCAGTGCCCCTGACTAAATAGTCAGGTATTGCATGTTTTAAAAATTCTTGCAGGAGACCAGCGTGCCTCTTGAATATGGTTGTTCTAGACAATGCACGTTCTAGCACCTCACTGGAACCTTAAGAACAGATGAAAGGGAAGCTCAGAGACTCACCGGGATTGAACCCAAAGCTCCGGCTCTTCCCACGCCATATCCCACTTGGGAAGCCTTTAATGTTACACTCATCGCCTCGGTTTGCTTTTTGAAATGGTCTTGAGATCACCAACTTGATAAGCACGTGTCTTAGGCTAACTTGGACTTTGGTTGCCTCAAAACATTTTCTAGAACTCAGATATGCTAATATCATCTAAATTTAAACTTAACATGTCATTTCGGTTTGCTTTTTGAAATGGTCTAGAGATCACCAACTTGATAAGCATGTGTCTTGGGCTAACTTGGACTTTGGTTGCCTCAAAGCATTTTCTAGAACTCGGATATACTAATATCATCTAAATTTAAACATAACATGTCATTAAAAATTACTAAGAAAATACAAACACTTGCGCTATCGCAGAGTAAGTTTCGGAACCACGAACCAACCAATCCTCGGGGCCTTTGTAGAAATGACATCTCTAGAAAATCAAAAGACATGACAGACACCTCAGCTATGTCAAGGGGAAAAGATTCACCTACAACGTTAAAAAAGAATTCTGCATTAGACATTGAAAGACTGAATTACCTCTCCTCCCTGTAAATCACCGTAAACCACCGGGGAGACCCTTTCAGTCGCCACCGTGTTACCATTTATTAAACTAAGTCAAGCCACAGTCTGCGTCGGTGCACCCCGGAGCCAACACTTCCCCGGGAGCTGTACCCCTAAGACTGTCACACACTGCGCATGTCTTTCAGACCAACCTCTGAAAAACCACATAGGATTTAACACAGAATATCCTCGATCACGTTTGCAACTCTCTGAAGTAGGTGAAGGAGGATCACCAGGCTCCAAAGAGAAACTCTGCTTGAATGTGAATGCACTTAAATGTCAAAAACCACAGTTTGGCGGTGGCGAGAGAAGAGGCACGGGAAACGGAACACGAGAACCGGGTCCCAGCCCAACACCGAACCGGATCCGGCTACCGAGGCCCAGCCCGCAAGGACGAGACGCCACGGAGGCGCTCCCACAGGCGGGCTCCAGTCTCCGGAATGAATGACCCGAAAGGAAGGCGTCTCATCACCAAAATGCCTGACCACGTCAGACCACCCACCTGCACCTGCCTGGCCAACAGCAGTCTCACACCCACTGCACAGACGAGCAAAACGACAACGGCGTCCTCGGGTTACACAACCCGGCGCCATGCGCATGGCGCACCGGGACACGCTCTCCACTGCTAAAAGTTGGTGCCGGTGGGCTGGGATTTGGGTTTTGGAAACATCTGCCTGGGAAAGCAGCAAGGTCTGCAAAGACAGGGCGGAAGGACCCGCACATTTCCCTGCGGGGGCGGGGAGGCGGCAGGGGGTCTCGGGAGT